GGTACGTGCCAGGCCATACTGTCTCATGCTTGAAAATGTTACAATTTGGGGGTATATGATTTTGACCTTGTAAAGTTACTCTGTGTTGTTATAGTTGGTGCTCCTTGTGCCTCCTGCACCCCCTCGTCCTCACAGAGAAAGGCTTTACAAGAGGGTATCATGGGGTTCCAAAAATCTTATACCTCCACAGAGGAATGGGGGCCCCCGTGACACAGCTCAGAGAATGGTAGGTGACTGCAGTGCCACTTCCATCCTGCAGCCTAGACACAGAGAGGCTCACAATCCCTTTCTCTCCCACCGTGGATCTGGGGTCTAAATTTTTTTATATGGATTTAAGGAAAGTCTTTTGGGTGTCCGGCCATCTAATTATTATCCAATTGTTTGGTGAATGGGATAGATTGTTAGAGTACATACTAAAGGACCTGTGCATGAAATTTGTGCATTGGGTAGGAGGGGGGTCCCTCAGCCTGGTCTGTGCTCTCTCTCAGTCCGGGACCCCTCAGGGGATAGCTGGCAGTCAGACATCCCTCTCGCAGTCTGGGACCCCTTGCTCCTTACTGCCCACCTGCAGCCGAGGCGGGAGAGGCTCCTGCCACTGCTGGGGCACTCACCAGCTGTAAGCCCAGCTTCTGGCTGAGCAGCGCTCCCTCTGTGGAGTGCACTGACCACCAGGGGGCAGCTCCTGTGTTGAGCGTCTGCCCCCTGGTGGTCAGTGTGTATCATAGTGATTGGTAGTTCCACCATTTGGTTGATTTGCATATCAGCCTTTTATTATATAGGATGTCACAAATTATTGCTCTATTGAATCATATACCCATTAACATAAATTTCTTTGTTGATAAACTATTTCATATTTTTGTCTTTATTTTTATAAATAATTTTATCTCCTTCTTTCTCACTCTGGCATCTTTTGGCATTTCTCTTTATCTTTGGAACGCATAAATATCAAGAAGATGTAGCTATGTATGTTTTCTCTCCTGTCCAGGTTATTATTTATGTTCTAAAATATTCATTGTTTTCCTCTGTGCTCTCTGTCAACTTTGGATTGTGGTTTTACTCTGCTGGTTTCTTGATCACACAGATTCTGTTTTCATTCTCTATTTCAGGAGTTTCTCAAAACTTCTAATCTACTAGCAGTGACCGCTCCTATTTTCCTGAAGTACCGTGGACGTATTCTTTCTTCTTAAATCAATTCTGACATAATAAGGGGACTTTGAGATGAATGGAAAATAAATAGCTATCAGCCTGCCAGTTGGATTCAGAAATCCATGGTTATCTTAAATGGAGTTTTTTTAAAACAAGGTTTTCCCTATCTTCTAATCACAGTCATATGATAAGCAACCTAAACAATTCAGAAAAGAGGTTAGGTTAAAAGTATTTTTAGGTCAGTTTACATTTTGACAGTATTATACCTGTCAATGGCCTGAAGATCATTGGCTGGATTCCATGTAGGATCAAATAATACAACAACATTGGCACCAACAAAATTGAGGCCTAGTCCACCAGCCCTGGAGGAAACAGAAAGAACATATTAAAACAGCAAAGTAATAATTGTTGTTCTGTAACTCAACTGTGCCAGATTTCTACAACAAATCAACACAGTATTACACTCACATCAAAAAAGGTGATTAAAACACAAATATTCCACAAATGAAATAGCTATGAAATATTATTTTTCTACCACTCTAGAATATCCCTAAAAAATTTGACCATTACAGTCCATGTAAGTAGACTATGCTGTTTATAGTTGAGTATTATTTCTGTAAGGTTTTCCTAACATAATTTTAAAAAACTATTAGTATATTGCAGCTAAGTAAAGTAATATACACATTTTTAAAAATCAAGCCAGGAGTAGATACACTTTGTCTTTTTCTTCCCGCTGTGTGCAAACCCTGAATATTATATATAAAATAAACATAAGACAGTGAAGAGTGGAGAGAGCACAGACTGCCTAGGAACCACAAAACATGAGGAATGACATGACAGTGAGTTTCCTGTGTGTGGTTTCTTTTCCTGCCTAATATATCCCAGACTGGGTTCTGGAGAAGCTAGTGAACTGGAAATGCGAACAGTCACAGACCAAAAAGGCCCCAAGTAAATCCTTCTTCCTTTAGCTAAAGAACCAGGAAAGATGTATCCCTTTAAGACAGAAATACGTTAGACAATAACCAGTCTATTCCTGTAAACACCATGGGGAAAAAATCTGTGGCCCCACCCTCAACCTGGCCAGGAAAGGCTAAGTGAGGAGACTAAACTTCCACGCTTGCTTGAATGTAATGAAGCACCATTAGCCCCGGGAGGCGTGGTATCAGAGAAGACTGATTAAGAAGCTGGGACTTTCATTTCTTCTTAACCAGGCCCCCCTCTGAAGTATCAGTGGGGGTCAATTAGAAAATATTAATGAGCCACCTCACTCCCAGGATGTCAACAGAGGCCACGTAGAAAACATGGATTTCCATCCCTATGTGGCTGGTATGGTATCTGGGTAAATCAGATTTAAATATCATATAAAGTTTTAGAACATAATACAAAGAATACCCAGCACATAATAAAAAATTACTGGTTATACCAAGATCCAAGACAATCTCAATGTGAAAAGGAGACAAACAACAGATGACAACAATGAATCAGATGTTGGAATTATCTAACAAGAATTTCAATGCAATCATAATAAAAATGCTTTGATAAGAAATTACAAATATGCTTGAAAAAAGTAAAAATAGAAAGTCTCAGGAAAGAAAGAAAGGATATAAAGAAAAACCAAGTGAAAATTTTAGAACTGAAAAATAACTGAATTACAAAATTTGATGGAATGGACCTGACAGTACAGTGGAGATAACAGAGAACAGAGCCAGAAAAACGAGAACAGGTCAATGCTATTTACCCCATATGAACAACAGAAAGAAATATACTGAAAGAAAATGAACATAGTCTTAGAGATTTGAGGGACAATAACACTCATATTATTCAATAGAATGAAAAGTATTTGAAGACATATGGATAAAAACTTCCCAAATTTGGGAAAAGCCATAAACCTAGATTCAAGAAGTTATAAGGAACTCTAAAATGGATAAACCCCAAGGAATCCACGTCAAGAAACATCATAAACTTCTGAAAACAAAAGACAAACTCTTGAAAGCAATAAGAGTGAAATGATACACTACTTTTAGGAAAAACCGACTCAAATGATACACTACTTTTAGGGAAAACCGACTCAAAAGACAGTCGATTTCTCATCAAAAACCATGGAGGTCAGAGGCAGATGGACAACATTTTTCAAATGTTTAAAAACTGTCAATCCAGAATTCTATATCCAGCAAAATATCCTTCAGGAATGAAAGGGAAATCATGGCATTCTTTAATTAAGATAAAAACTAAGAGAATTTGTCAATGACAGACTCAAAGGAGGAAAAATAAAAACTCCACAAAAACTGGAAAACCATCCAATATCAAATCTTGTCAAATTTAGCTCAAAAATGTATTTCTCTACTTCCTTCTACATTTCTATTTTCCCTGCCTTATTTCAAGCCCTTATTATATCTCACCTGTAAGTATTATTTCACTGGCTTCTTAACTGTCTTCCCTTACCTCAGATCTTAAATCCATTCTCATTATTACATAAAATTATTTTAAGCACAGAATATAAAAGCTAGGTATGCCACTCCTCTGTTTTAACCCCCCAATTCTTATCCACCAGAGACCAACTCTTGTATTCTTAGACTTTATCTCCCAGAACTACCACTATATTTAAAGTTATCCCCATGCCTACTTGTGATTTTCTTTGCTCTCTTCTTTGCCTGGCTAACTTCTACTTGTCCCTCAGCGTTGCTGAGGAAGGACGAACTAAGTATTTCTCCTCTGTGCTTCCTCTGTTGGCATTTAGCATAATGAAACCACCCTCTCACGTATTTCTTAACTAGTCTCTCTATCTTCATATATTTTTAGTTCATCTTTAAAAGAGCTGAGTCAGAACCTTTTACATCTTTTCTTCTCCAGGACCTGTCACAGAACACTCAGTTAAATTAACTAATAATTCCTCCTATTTAGTCACATACTCAGGTCTTCCCTCCATGTATCCTAAGCGCTAACCATTTAAATTCCCTGGTCATTTTTGTACTAATGCTATTCTCTCTGCCTGAAATGCCCTTTATTGAAACCTGCTTTCCCTTCTAATGAAATCTTATCTATAACAGGCCAGTTTAAACATCACCATCCTTTTATGGTCTTTCTTGACATGCCTATTCTTTAAATGCTCATGGAACTTTACACATAAGTCCAGTAAAGCATATATTGCTCATAATGCTCTGTAGAGGCAAAAAAAAAAAAAATGTTATTTTTCTTATCCTACATTAAGTAAGGACCAATGAAGACAACTGAATAGAAAAAAGGGGTGTGAGAATAGTTAGACAACAAAATACAAATTAAAAACAGTTTTTTGCATTTATTTATATAAAACCCTAATATGCAAATTGACCAAATGGTGGAATGACTGGTCACTATGACATGCACTGACCACCAGGGGGCAGATGCTCAACACAGGAGCTGCCCCCAGCCCGCAGGCCCCAACCGGCGGCAGCGGCTGGGGGCTGGCGAGTGGGCAGTGCCAAGTCAGCCAAGGTGGGTGCAAGTGGAGGCCCCGATCACCCCGCCAGTTGTCCCACAGATCAGCCCTGATCGCCAGCCAGGCCTAGGGACCCTACCTGTGATGCACTGGCCTCTAGTAGTCATATGATTCTAATGACTTATTGGAGTAGTGGTTTAGAATATCTTTCTTTATGGACATTTAACAAAAGAAATACCATCATCTTTCTGAGGAAGTTGCGATACAGTTTTCTGGAATGAGATTAAGAGAAATACGAAATTACTTTTCTCAGGAGTCTTTCAAACTATGGTTCATGGGATTGGAATAATTAGGGGCACCTAAAAATTGCCTGACAAACCCAAAGTATCCTGACGTTTTAAAGTTATGTGTCCAATAGAAAATGAATTGTATCCTTTGGAAAATTACTTATAGAGGTGATAGCATACAGATATCACAGATTTTCTTGAACTCAAAGAAAAGAGTAGGGATAGTGAGAAAGTTTTGGAAAGAATTTAAAAATGGGTAAATTAGTGGAGTGGGTGGGACTTAGACACAAAATAAGCAGAACAGACATTGAAAGTTTATCTAGTATTGTGATGGAAAAAAGTGAAGAAACAAGGTTCATAAGATTATATAATTAGATAATTATAAGAAAAATCAACAAGGTACATCCAAAATAAAAATTTAAATTAAGAAATATTTTCTAACATTTAAATGAACAACACCAACAATAAATGCAACCAGAATTATCTCAGATGCCCCATCTAAGCCACAGGGAGGCCTCTCCCAAGAGGTTCTGAAGGCGTAACTGAAGGCTGGCTGGGTTACAGCAGAGGAAAAACTCCTTCACCTAAATAATCTCCAAACTCTATCTTTGGAGATGAGATGATTCTGTTTCATGATAATGCAACTCAGAGTCCTAAACTTTAAAATCTGTAACTCTGTTGTTATATGACTAAAAGCAAAGGTCTACTCCTTAAGCAAGAAAACAAAATATAGACCTTTTCAAGCTGAGGACTGGTATTAATACAGACCCATAATGAGCATGAAGGCTAATCATACCTTAGATTTTTCTATTTTCACATCAAATAAGCATATAAAAAATTATACTTTAACTATATGTTAATATTCCATAAAAATGCCTTCAGTGAATTTTTATTGTTAGGTGTTAACTATTATAAAGGGTGAAATGAAATATTCACTTGAATAATATTTATGTGAAAATCTAAATAAATGTAGAGATACTATGTTCATGGATAGGAAGGCTCAATATCATGAAAATGCCAATTTTTAAAAGTAATTTATAAATTCAGTGATTCCAAAAAAATTCTAACCCAAGGGAAATTGCCAGATGACCCTTCTCTAATTAACTGAATGAGATGATTATAAAAAACTAGGCTTTGAGGTACTGATATTCCAGAATAAAGATAATTTAGAGAACAAAAGAGCTTGGAAAGCAAGAAAATTTTTAGATGAAAAATTATTTCAAGTAAAATAAACAGATTTTTAAAAAAGACTGGAAAATGACATTTCTCAGAATACAGAACAAAAAGATAACAAAATGGAACATGAATGAAAAGTTCAGAGATTTAAATAATCCATATAGGAGCTCTAAGATCTGACAACCTGGAATGCGAGAGGAAGAGAGATACTGGAAAAATAGAAGAGACACCATCGACAAAGAAATAATCCAAGAGAATTTTCCAGAGCTGAAAAAGAAAACAAGCCTTAAGATTGTGCCAGCACAAGAAATGAACAAAGATCCACACCAAGACTCAAATATCACTATAAAATTTCAGAATACCACAGATGAAAAGGAACTCTTGTGAGTTACCAAAAAAGAATGAGAGTCAGATTGGCCTTAGACATCTATTAAGCAACATTAAATACCTGAAAACAGTGCTTTAATAACCTTCCATAACCAGTCAGGAAATTATTTTCAATTTAGAACTTAGTTGGCCAAAGCAGCAATTAAGTGAGAGGGCACATAAAAGACATTTTCAGATATTCAAAGATGCAGAAAATTTATTTTCTATAATCCTGACTTGAAAAATTAATTGAAGATATTCTCCAGTGAAACAAGGAGGCAAACCAAGAATGAAAATGGCATAAAATTCAGGAAAAGTGGATCCATGCAAAAAAGCAGTGAAAGAAAATTTCAAGATAACAGTTCTTTATCAGGACTGGAGAACAATCAGTCCAGATTAAAACCAGAGTACAAAAGACTTCAGGAGCAAGTTCTTCAGGATACAGAGGAGTCAACAGAAGAGAAAGTGTGATGGTGAATTAGTAATATATTAAAGACTATTACTACTATAAAAGGCAAAAATATACAGAAGGTAAAGCATTAAGAAAATTAGGATTAAAATATGAAGTACACTTAACTGTGTAAATATAAGATGATGATGGAAGTGTTAGAAGAGAGAACTCATTTGAGGTTGATGTTAAGACTGTTCTCCTTGAACTGGCCAAGAGATCACAAACATTCAGAGAAATTACCTTAGCACTCTGTGGTCCAGCATTAAACAATGTTTACAAAATCATAATAATGTAAATGCTGTTTTTTAGCCTCTAAATTTTAGAGGCAATCTATGGGTAGAGCATGAAAGACTTAGTTATTGTTGCAGGACTCCGAAAATTTATAATATCTCTGATGAGGTAACAGTTAAAATAGTTGACAGATAATATGAATAGGTGACAAAAGTAGAAGAAATGGTAGATGCTAATGCTAATACCACCCATTACAAACATTTAGAAGATACTGTAGGAAGTAAATGGACTAAAACATTAAAAATTAAGGAACATTATTTAAAGTTACTAAAGTATTTATAGACGTACTAGAGGCCTGGTGCATGAAAATCATGCACTGGACGGGGGGAGGTCCCTCAGCCTGGCCTGTGTCCTCTCGCAGTCCAGGACCCTCAGGGGATGTCCACCCGCGGGCTTAGGCCCGATCCCTGCCACCACCACCCCCACCGGGATTGGGCCTAAGCCAGCAGTCAGACATCCCTCTTGTAGTCTGGGGCTCTAGAAGTCCGGGACTCCTCACTCCTTACTGCCTGCCTGCAGCCGAGGCGGGAGACGCTCCTGCCACTGCTGCTGTGCTTGCTGCGCTCACCAGCCATGAGCCTGGCTTCTGGCTAAGCGGTGCTCCCCCTGTGGGAGTGCACTGACCACCAGGGGGCAGCTCCTGCGTGGGGCCAGGGAGGGATGCAGAAGTTGGCCAGCCGGGGAGGAACTGCGGGAGGGCTCCAGGGTGTGTCCAACCCGTCCCACTCAGTCCCAATCAGCCAGACCCCAGCAGCAAGCTAACCTACCGATTGGAGCGCCTGCCCCCTGGTGGTCAGTGCACGTCATAGCAACTGGTCGACCGGTCAACTGTCTGCCCCCTGGTGGTTAGTGCATATCATAGCGAGTGGTTGAGTGGCCTTAGCATTGTCATTAGCATATTACACTTTGATTGGTTGAATGGCCCACTGGACACTTCGCATATTAGGCTTTTATTATATAGGATAATAAAAATAAGGACTTTGTTAAAGTTGGGGAGAGAGTATCATAAGCAGACCAAGTCCTCCTCTTTCATAACAGAATCCAAGCTGTGTAATGTTGATAAATGAAAAGAAAAAGAAGACTTAGTATTCTGGCAAAATAATGGAATAAGCTAATGTGATAATTCTGCTACACATCTAGAAATTAAATATAAACTATTGCAAAATGAGAAAAACAAAACAAAAACTGAGCTTATTTATATCTTTTGAAAAACACAGCTGAAGAATGTATTTATTATATTATTTAAGATTCTTTACTGTGTAAAGACTTATGCAACGAATTACTCCTTGAATTCAGTCACAGGAAAACAGGAATCTAAAACTCTTCCCTTCCCTTAGTTGGGATGCCAAGCAGAAGTCAAAGCAAAACCACAGCAGTGGAAAACTCCAACCAAAGGATCTCCAAGGAGGAAAAAGACCCACTGACGATAAGCTCAAAAAAAAAATTTGTGAAGATGCCATCTACCATAAGCAAGAGCCAGAGGAAACATCAAATAGAAGGGTTAGCACCTCCAAGTACAGGAATTAACAGAGCAAAAATGCCATTCAAAAGGAATTTTTTCAAAAAAGATTAAAATTACTAAAGAATTAAAAGCAAGGCTAGAAACCATAAAGAACAAAATATGAGTAAAAATAATCAGGCAGATCTGAAAAATATCAAATAGAACTAACCATAAAAAGTACAGTCTTTAAAAATTCAATGGATGGATTAAATAGCAATTTCTAATACAGTTGAAGAGATAATTAGGAGTTTATGGCAGATGACATCAAATTAGATTGAGGGTGAGCTGACTGAGAGATGACTGCTTACAAACAGTTCTGTACTACTTGAACTGTTGAAAGCATTTATTACTTTGAAAAACGTTACTTATAAATTAATATGCAGTTTTTAATTTAAATTAACTGAAGACAATATTCTGTCATTTATTGCTCTGAAAGAACTCGGGTGAGAAATTATAACTTGAATTCATTCACAGGAAATTGGGAATCCAGAGCTTATCTCCTTTTGCCTTAGTTGCAAGAATTCAAGAATTATTTTAGTCCTCAACACTAAGTAGCTCACTCATCATACATATAATTTTCTTCATCATTTAAGTAATTTTTTACTTATTTTTACTTTTTACATTTTATATAAATTTATTTTTAAAACCCCTTGAAATTCTTTCTGAAAGACAATGGGAGCAAATCTATAAAATACTACAATAGATGCCAATAGTTACGGATTTGTTACCCACCAAAAGATGAATTTTACTTAGGTAAGTTTATATTGCCTTTACTCTTCCTCTTAAGTGTGTAAATTCTTGAAAAGGTTTTCATTAGAGATTTGTAAACAGGTGTTAGACCTACTTTAACTTTAATAAAACCTAGAATGGGAGTTGCTCTGGTTGATAGTAGGTAGAGACAAAGTAGGGAAAAGCCTGGTCCATGGCCCTGTGAGCTCCCCACGGCTCCTTGAGCACAGTTTGCAAACCATTGCTACAAATGATTTTCTGTTATTTGATAAATCCATTATTTAATTAAGTTTCATTCTGACCATGGACATGAGACAAAACACCACTGCAGAAAATTCCTTTAAAAATCTATTTTTTGGAGTATTACCTTTACATATGCAGACATAGAAAGGAAAATTCAGTGATGATAAAGGAATTGAGAGAACAGGTTAGGTAAAATTCAAGAAATCATTAGTCCCTCATAATTAATAGCATTTTTACTGCTTCTCCTTAAAGTCAATTAAAACAAAGCAAAATAAGCCTAACCACTAAAACATCAGTCATAGTTTTAAAATTACCCTAAATCTTAAAAGCAATTAGATAAAAATCAAGTTATCAAGTTTTATTTTCTTACATTGTGGAGACAAGGCAAATGTTGACATCTTGAGTACTGTTGAACTCTTTCACGATCTTGATTCTTTCTTCTGATTTTGTACTGCCATCGAGTCGTCGGTAATCAAGCCCAGATGCCATACAGTATTGCTGCAGCACGTCAAGCAGCTAGAGGGAAGGTAGAAAGATGGGCAAAGGTGAATTCATGGTTCAATAAGCTTCATACCATACAGAGAGGAAACCGACTAAGTATTAATTATGACTGCTCACAATTTCTTTCTTATAATTAGAGCAACAGATAGTTTTCTGACTTCTGACCCATATATTTCATTATCCTGAAACTGGCTTTAACCTTAACAACCTTCCTTTAAAAAAAATCAATCTTTTAAGAAAAAAATCAATCTTGAATTTTTAAAAGTAAAACCAAATAAAAAGAAAACTATTGGCCAAATCATTTATGTAAATATATTTCATTTATTTATGCTATTTTCTACATTTTAAAATCTCTTAAATGTTTTAAAGAACATTTTAATTATCAACAAAAACATCAACAGAAAATTAAAAACTTATTTTTGAGTTTGCTACATGACAGTATCCCTGATGTAATTGAGATTTATGTCTCCTCCCTCACTACCATTTCCTACAGTATGTATAAGACAGAAAAGATGGCTGGATACCAATGTGTATTTGAGGCTTTCTGCTTCAGGATTAAGGCTGGGCCATTCAAGAACGCACTGCAGACCAAACTCACCTTGGTGGAGAAGGAGAAAAGAAGAACTTTATCTTTGTTTTTCCTGCAGTGATTTAAAAGCTGCTGCAGGACCTGGAAATGAACCACAGAACATCAGTGAACCAGTTCCAGTTAAGAGTACACTTTGTATCACTGGGCATCTCTCCTGAGATTTGTAGGGTGTGACTTTGAGCCCTGAGTTTGCAAATGGCTGTCAGTGTCAGGAGCATTTCATGCTGTCCGCATGTGAATGTCCAAAGCTTTCCGCCTAAGGCTTTTGGGCCACATCACGGAGCCTAAGCTGACCTGGGTCCTTCTCTGCCCAAGGATGCACGGGCTTAGTATAGGCTGTGTCTGACCCGATTGTACCTGGCAAGCATTTGTTCTTTTTCTGACTGTTTTCCTTTAAAAATTATAAACCCCATCAAATCCTCTACTAGGTAAGTATTTTTAAACAATGCAGCTCTATTATTCTGCTCCTCAAAGAATGCAGTTTGAAATTTTCTCATTTTGGTCGTAGAGACCGTAATTGCCATTGTATTACTAATACTGCAACATGAAATTAAAGGTGCCCAACTGCTTAAAAAAACACAATGAGCCATCATGCCGTAACTGGGCCAATGCAGAAGCAGGGGGGTGAGGGGGGCACAGGCACGAATGGGCCCAGTCCGTGTGCGTGAAGACAAGGAACCGCAGGGACGTGCGGCCTGCATTCTTGCTGCACGTGTGCTGCTGAGCGTGTGCCTCTTTCTCACCTGTCTTTGGTTTTCCTCACCTGTATTCAAAGTGCCCTGTGCCCTGGGTTTTCAGGTGTCTAAAATGTTAAGATCGGCGTCAATAGAGCAATGAACAAGGGGCCTTTGAAAAGCTGTGTTTGAGCGCGTTCCCTGAGTGCACAGGGGCCCTCAATGAGCCTGTTTTCAGCAAGAGAGGTGTGTGCAATGTTTCACTTGGTTTTGTACTTGCTTTGATATCTTCATTAAATGCTAAGTTGCAATATCGTTCACTTAGAGAGGGGAAAATGCAAAATTGATTTTCTTTATCTTTTTCTTTATTGTTTTCCTTTACTCCTTAAATGTGCTTTTAAAATGTGTTCTAACTGGATTTTTATTCCGTATCACTGCTTTGGCCAGGAGGCTATCATGACTTTCAGTGTCCCAGAGTCTCAGCTCCAAATGTGGGGAGGAGGAGCTCTGGACTGACAGTGAGAATTTGTTCCATGAACGCAACGCTGCTTCATTCTCATTTTTAACTTTATGCCATCTGTGTATGTTCAGAGATGCCCAGTGATACAAATATTGAGTTATTACATGTTTTCAAATGAGCATTTTTCATCCTAAATTTGTTTGCAAATATATTTTTAATAAAAGTTTAAAACCAACTTTTAGCACCTAAAAAAAAAGAGTATAC